AAAAGAACATAAATTGATGGGAACAAGAAAAAGAAAAAAAAAGCCATGAGTAGTGCATCGGTTAGGAGATTAATTTTTTTATTTTAAAATTTCAGCAACCAAAATGAAACAACCTGAAAATTTAAAAATAAATAAATTAAAAAAAGAACCTAAATTGATGGGGAAAAAAAACAAAGGAAAAAAAAGACATGTATAGTAAAACAACTTGAAACGGAAAAAGAAAGAAAAATATATCGTAATAAAATCCAAAAACATATCATATAAATATAAAAAATATCGTATATGTTATATAATCGTTAGTTTGTATGAAAAAAAAAACTAATGATTGGTTTTTGAAAAATTTAAAACCTAATTTTAAAAAATATAAATTAATGGAAAAAACAAAGAAAAAAGAAAAGAAAAGGCATGAGTAGTACATCGGTTAAGGGATTAAAATTTTAGAGACTAAAATGAAACAACCTAAAAATTAAAAAAAAAAATTAAAAAAAAAAAAGAACCTAACTTGGTGGAAACAAAACAAAGGAGGAGAAAAGAAAAGAACAACTTGAAAAAAGAAAGAAAGAAAAAAGCGCTCGGTACTCGAAACAAAAAAAAAAAAAATGGTGAACGATGGATGAAAAAATTAAAGTATAGAAAAAGAACCTAACTTGATTAAAAAAAAACAATGGGGGCAAAAAAGAAAGCAAGAACTTGAAACCAAAAAGAAAAAGAAAAAAGTGAACAACACTTGAGAAAAAAAGAAAGAGGTGAACATGATTATGAATAGTGACAATCCCGGGTCTTATATATATATATTGGAAAAAAAATCAAAGCATAAATCTATAGCAAAAATGCGTCTATCGAAGTCAAACCCGAGTCTATTACTTAGAAGATAATTATTTTAACCGCTGGATTTGTAAATGCTTTCTTGTATTTGAATTACAAAATATATATATAGAAAAATAAAATCTAAGTATAAATGCATTTGTTGGAGTCAAACTTGAGTTTATTACTTAAAAGATAATTATCTTAACCGTTGAATTTGTCATCATATTTTTGTACTTGAATTACAATATATATATATATATATATCCGAAATAGGATTGCGGATAGTTAGAACCCTATGTCTTTTAGAATGTTAGTAATGGTAAGTTAAAAACGTGGCTTTATTTTGCAAGTTGCAACTATATTTTTCATTTGAAAGAAAAACAATGTTTATAGAATTTGACATCGAATTACAATAAATTGCTTCTCCAATGGTGTTGTGGTTGATGTCTCTTCAAATATATATATACGACAAAAAATTACACAAACTAAAACGGTTGGAGGTTGATTTCAAAAAATCACCCAAATACCTCTGCATCGCTGCGCTGACATAAAATCAAGACTCAAAGCCTTGAATCTGTCAAAATCAGCACTCCATAGACGGATTAAGGATGGCATTCATATGTAGCCAAATCGTTCTTCGTAGATAACAACAAGAAAGCAACACTGAAATTTTGCATCTCAATGATTGATAAAAGTACTATCCATTCTAATCCCATGTTTATTGATATGTACGACTATATTCATATAGACAAGATGTGTTTTTTCACGAGTAAAACAACAAAGAAATATCATCTTCATCCTGATGAAAATAAACCTTTATGTACTTGTAAAAGTAGGAGTTCCATCCTAAAAATTATATATGTTTTTATCTGTTGTGGCACGCCTTCGATATGTCCCATCATTAAAAAAAAATTGGTAAGATTGAAATTTTTCCTTTTGTAAGTTATAAAGAAGCAGCTAAAAGAAACAATAAAAATCGTATTGTTGATATTTAGAAACAAAACCTATAGTTTCAATTACTAAAGATATAATATCTTTTTCTTTTTTTATTGAAATGGTTTTGTCAGCAATCCTAGAGAAATGGCCCGTTGATAGTATCGGTCCATCTTATATCCAACAAGACAATGTTAAACCTCAATATTAGAGACTAATATAAATTATATTATGAAGTCTCACCTATCGGCTTAAGCTTTTAGGTAAGATGGTATTTTAATATGATATCAAAGCTTGATTGATCATATACTCCCGAGTTTAAGTCTCATCATCCTCAATTTCTCAAATATTAAGCACAAGGCAATGTATCAACCACCAAATCTTCTAAATATGAACTAGTTATATACCTATGCTATGGTAAGGTCGGACAAGTATTACATGAGTAAGATCAACAATTGATATGATTTAATGCGAATAAAAGTCTTATTTTTTGTAATTAAAATAAATTAAATATATTTATTGAGTGAAATAGTTTTATTTATATGTATATGTTAACAAATTAATCAATAATATTAATATAAAAAATTATATTTAAATAATTAGGAGGTTCTTTCAAAACATTAGTTCAATTATTTTATTTGAAAAATATATATTTTAGAATATGAAAAATAATAAATAACAAATAATTAATGTTATGTGTGTCAATAGACATTAAATTTCTAATAAAACTAATGATATATATATATATATATATAAACACACACACATGATGATCATATTTAACGGATTCATAATATAGAGCATAAATAAAAAATATAAAAAAATCACATAAATTGTATGGAATATATTGAAGTTAATAGATTGAAATAAACACTACTACAAAATTGATTCTAATAAATTTTGATTATATATATATATATATATATATATATACAAATAAAACCCTTGAATTCTATTTTCTTAATTGATTATTTAAATATTAAAAAAAATTGAGTCAAATTATCGAAAAGACACTTTTAGCTTTATATATATGCAATTACGTTAATCTCGTTTAAAAATCATATATATTAAAAATCATTGTGAAGCTGCATAGGAAACATGAAAAATAACATTCAATCTTCCATAAATGTTACCTCAAAATCCATAATTAAAAAATAATTAAATTATTGGAAAAAAAGCAAATAAATAATTAAATACATGGTTGCCTTTTCTTTTAGGTATTGTATAATTTGTGAATTTATCGTGGTTGCTACTTTCAAGAAATATCCATGTCAACATAACCTTGAAATAGCACATCAAGTTTTCATTAGTCATTTATTAGAATTTGTAGCGTAATGATGTATAGCACTATATTTATTAAAAAGAAAAAATACCTTACAAAGAATGATGAAAGGAATCCTTAAATTGCAAAGTAAATTATAAGTTAGTCCATCTCATTGTGAAATATGAATTAATTAGTCCTTTTAGTTTAAAAATTAATTACTTAATCATTTCAACCATATTTGACCACAACTAATTTTTTTTATATAAAATATTTTTTATTCTCATCAATATTTTTATATTTTCAGTTATTTTTTATTTCCTACAATAAAAAATTAATTGAAAAATAAAAAAAAAGATAAAACAAATTATTTTTTGAACAAGATGAACTAATTAATTTGTTCTCAAAAAGAGAGGGACTAATTTATAATTTACTCTTGAACACCAAGCTACTCCTCACAAAAATGAGGGAAAAGGCAATGGAAGACAAAGCATCAAATGTTTTATATAAAAAGAAAAGTAAAGGACAAAAAAAGATTAAAGAAAAAAATTAAAAGGAGAATCAATCAAGGACAAGAATCAATTTTTATAAATATACTAAGTGACAATGACCAAAATCAAGAGTGAAACAAAAAAGTTTTTAATTTCTTTTGTAGTGGCAAAAGAGGAATTAAATAAAAGTTAAAAGACATAAACTAAGCTAACAACCCCATTTTAAGAGAAAAGAAAAGATTAAAAAGCATCAAATTGGTAATTGGACGGTTGCAAGAAAAGCACATATCTGATGGATGGCTGAGATCGAAGAAGATGACTCAAACCATGCATTTGAGTCACAATGAATAGACATTATGTGTCTAAAGCAAAAGGAAATGAATAGCCCTAAAACAATAATAATTCCAAATCTTTTAGTTTTTTTTTTCTTAATGTACTTAATCTTGGTTTCTTCATAGCAATTCAGCATCAACAAGTCCCTTTCACAATTGATGAATTAGTATCAGAAATGGAAAAAAAGCTTTTTATGAATTTCCATAAGATGAACTTAACAAGGTGTTTCTAATATTACAATCATGTATGGTTGAGGTGATGAAGAATTTTGAGAGGAATAAACACAAAAATTTTTATTTGAGCAAACAAAATTAAAGCGTATTTTCAATTTCTCTTAAATGAGATATGATGTTTTTCAAGATGGCATGTATTTTATAGAAGAATGAATATTTTTTATATATAATAAAAGAAAATTCTTTAAAATTTTTATGTTAAAAGTATTTATATGTATAAAAAAATATAAAGAATGCTGATTTTTTGTTAGTTAAAAACAGTAAATATAAGAAATAATTGATTTTAGTTATCAATTAAAGATATATATATATTAAAAGTTTTGACGTGAGAAGTATGTTGGTACATGTATAAATTTTTTTAAAAGAAAGAAAACAATTTTTTTGAAACACATGGAATAATGTATAGCTATCTAGCTAGCCATGTGCCAACAATGACGCAACCACTTGGGTATATAACTTTCTGCTTAATTCCTTCGAAATTGCCAGCTGTGGATAGTTATTACAAATAATTAATTAACAAATTGCATCACACATGAGTTGGCTTAATCAATAAAATGAGCTTCGTCAACTTATGCTTCTCTTTATACGTGACTAAATTATAAAATAGTCTCTCTGTTTTTCGAGAAACTAATTAATTAATCTTTTTAGTTTTAAGATAATTATTTAATTTTTTTAATATGATTATATTAATATTTTTTATTTTATAAAACGTATTCTCTTCTTTTTAATTTTTTTATAGTTTTTTTCTATTTCTTAAAAAAAGCAAAATAAATTAAAAGATAATAAAAATAATTAAATGATTGGGGTTTTAAAACTAAAAGAATTAATTAATTTGTTTCTCAAAATAAAAAAGAATAATTTATAATTTACTCATTTATACATACATCACTTCATTCCTCGCGAGGCAACAAGCGAAAAGAAGGAAAAAACAAGAGAGAAGCTATGGAAGCAGCAACGCTTGGGACGTCTCTCCCAGTTCCCTGTGTTCAGGAGCTGGCAAAGGAGTCACTAACCACAGTCCCAACAAGATATTCGCGTGACCCTCCGATCATAAGCGACATTGCTGCAGCTTCTTCACCCCAGATTCCAGTTATTGACATGCAAAGATTGATTTCTGAACAATTCATGGATCTAGAGCTGGATAAGTTGGACCATGCGTGCAAAGAATGGGGTTTCTTCCAGGTCATTTTATTTATATTTTTTTCTGTCTTTAATTTCTTAACTACAATCCAAAACCATTAAGGTATATATTGTTTTATATAAATAAATAAATACTCCTTGATTAACCAAAAATATGGATCGAATTGCATGTGTTTCAGTTGATAAATCATGGAGTGAATGATTCATTGGTTAACAAAGTGAAGGGGGAGATTCCAGAGTTTTTCGACCTCCCAACGGAAGAGAAAAGGAAGTACTGGCAAACAGCAGGAGAAATGGAGGGATTTGGACAAGCTTTTGTTGTGTCTGAGGAGCAGAAGCTTGATTGGGGAGACATATTCTACATGGTCACTCTTCCAACTCATGAGAGGAAACCTCATTTATTCCCCAAGCTTCCTCAACCACTCAGGTACTCTCTCTCTCTCTCTCTCTCTCTCTCTCTCTCTCTCTCTCTCTCTCTCTCTCTCTCTCTCTCTCTCTCTCTCTCTCATTTTCACAAATCCTTGTCAATAAACGAAAAATCCATTAAATCAAAAGGATATGCGATGATGGAAAACTTAGGGTTATTTTACTTTGCTAGCTATCACACAAATTGTGATTTTGATGTTGTGATTATTGCAATCCCTCAATTGTCGACGCCCTGTTATCAAATAAATTGTTCAGTGCCATAAATTATATATTTTTGCCATGCTATGCTGATTTTTCACTTGAGTTGGTCCAAGTATTTCTTATATATACATAAAAGATGTTTGAATTGGAGATCATTTACAGATCGAAAAAGGATAATGGTAAGATACAATCGTAGATTTTCAAAACAATACGACAATTTAGTTTTGTAACGTGACCTTTACTGTATTATGATTATCAAAATAGACATATTCAATTATTTAGTATTTGTACTTTCCACTGTTAAATATACGTTTGGCCTTCCTTTTTGGACACAATAATTTCACGGCACATAAGGGAGGAAATACCTCCAACCTGGCTAGGAGAAACCCATTTATAGTCTAGAGAAATTTTAAATTACTTTTCCGCTAAAAGATGCCCTGAATTAATGTTTTTCGTGTGGTTTTTGTTTCTTAAATAAAGATGATTTTTTTTCTTTTTTTTTTTTTATGCAAATCACATAAATCAATTTTTGCCTAAGATTATGAATCAATTCAATGAAATTATTACATATCATTAAATTTTTCACTTTAAAATGTGCATCTCTTCATATTCAATAGCACATTCATATTGATAGAATCAAACAATTGATGGTGTGGATAAATTTAGTAGGGTTTGTTCTATAATCTTTAAGTGGTCCGTGTAATAATTTCTCAATTTTGACATAAAAAAGGCAATGTGGTCTTAGAAGAAGAAAACTATTACTATGAATTATCCTCTTTTGTTTGCATGCAGAGATACTTTGGAAGCATACTCAGCAGAACTGAAAATTCTTGCCTTAAAGATTCTCTATCTCATGGCTAAAGCTCTAGGAATGAAACCTGATGATATAAAAGACTTGTTCGAAGATGGGTGTCAGATGATGAGGATGAACTATTATCCACCATGCCCACAACCAGAGCTTGTCATTGGCCTTAACTCTCACACTGATGCCACTGGCCTCACCATCCTCCTCCAAATGAGTGAGGTGGAAGGGTTACAGATAAGGAAATCGGGGAAGTGGATTCCGGTTAAACCACTACCAGATTCGTTTGTGGTCAACATTGGAGACATGTCGGAGGTAATAATTTATGCTTAGCTAATCCCCTATCATTTCCTTCGAACATTGAAAAAGCTGGCTCTGCAGATTTTTGCTAAAAATAACTTAAGTTCCTGTCTTTTTCAGATTGTGACTAACGGGATTTACCGCAGCACTGAGCACCGAGCAACTGTTAACTCGATGAAAGAGCGCCTTTCTCTGGCCACCTTTTACAGCCCCAATCTAGACAGTGAAATGGGTCCTGCACCAAGCCTTGTTACTCCAGAGACTCCAGCGCAATATAGGAGAATAAGGGTTGCGGAATTCTTGAAGGGATATTTTTCACGTGAACTCGCTGGAAAATCATATATTGATGTCATGAAGATTCAAAATGGA